GGAAGAATATAAAAACTTTTCTTTCATGCTTCTGTTTTTTTTTCTTCAAAATTTAGTGTTTTGATATTAATTCTAGATTTGATCATTTTATTAGATGATAGAAGTCTTTTTGTTTTTTTCTTTTATTTAAATATATAATATATTTTTAATAAATGACCATGTGGCAATAAGACTCTAAATATGATCATATTATATATTTGTATAATATATAATATGATCTCAAACTAAATAATTATGTTTTTTGGTATAAAATTGAATAAACTGAAAACCGATGGTATATAAACTAAATCAAACTGTAGTACATATAGATTTAGAATAGTAGTTATATTTTAATGATCGAAATACCAAAAAATCGGACAAAAAATTGAGCCGAACCGAAACCCAATATCCAGATTGAGCACCTATAATCCGAATGAAACCGAACTATTGTTTCATTTTTCAAAACATAATAAAAATAATAGCTTCATCCCGCACAAGGCGCGGGTCTTATCCTAGTTGCTTTGTAAAGTAGAACTTAGAGTACAAATAATTGGAACCGAGTCAGGTCAGGTCAGATCCGGAGTGAAAAATGTCGACGTTGGGATCTTGAATATTTATTTGGGAACTGTAGCAGTCTATCTTGTGGGTGTATGGGATCGGTCCCTTCATCTCGGATGCAAATCCTGTCGCATACGTTAGCAACTCGCCATTATGATATGTCTTCATTAGAGGCATCTTCTCTCACGCCCCTATTTTTTTAAAGCTAATCTCTTATGGGTTTACAAGATCTCTTATGCCCCTATTTCATAATTCTTTTTTTTGATCAAAACCCAAATTCCCAATTAAATCATTCTCGGTGTTCAAAACTAAACAAAAACCTCCCCCTAAGGATTAATGAACCCTTGGACAAATATTTAAATTCTATAGTGATCAAATTTCGAAAAAAATATATTTTAGAATCGTTTTTAATCATATTTTGATGATTTTCGTGAAAATATGAAAAAACGTTTTTTTGATTTTTGAAATATTTTTATCAAATTCTATAAATCAAATAAAAAATATTCACGTTTCAATTTTAATTTTATGTTTTTCGTTTGACATATAAAATTAAAAGAAGAAAAGTGTTCTAGAAAGATTAGAGAATGAGATTTAGGGGCTATAGAGGAGATGCCTCTCTTCACGATAACATGCATAGCCTTCTAACCACTACTTTTGATGAATTCAAAATCAGAGACCAAATGAAATTAAGCTAGATTATGTGAATACTTGTGTCCATTCAAAATTTTATAAGCCTATGAATTGAATGCAATATTTCTGGCATTTACTTGATAAAGAACATGCAAGAGAAAACAAAACAAAACTGAAAATCAATCAGAATATAACACAGCAAATCTTTATATATAAAATGAATCCAAGAAGTAGGCACGACAAAGAATCACAACACGACTCACAAGGGAAAGATTTGACTAGTTTGTCCGCTAGGGAAATCATTACGAGGGCAGAAGACATTATGAACAAAGAGGTGGTGATGAGATCACAGAAGTAGCAGAGAGGCAAAGACAGAGAGGCGAAGAGACAAAGTGAGTCGAGTTTGTCCGCTAGGCCTAGGCGCTTGTTCATTGGTTGATGAGGTTCCAGGGGCTGCTGAGGTTGGGGGTTTTTCTCCAACCGGAGGTAGTGGTGGCTCAGTGACATCATCATCTGTCAAAGCCGGGATTGGAGCTTCGGCTGGAGGTTTGGCATTCAAAAGAGGTAAGAGACCACCCGGTTGAACAGGGGACATGTAAGGTGGTAGAGTTCCCAAACATCGGTTCCCTGCAGAAGAGAAACAAAGTTAGCCATTGTTGTGAGAACCTTTGGTTCTAAAAAGTTTGGGCCCACTTACTTTTGTATCTTGCAGCTGTGAAAGGGAACTCTGTGATGGTTCCATTGATACCGGCTCCAATGACATATGAGTTTATCTCAACGGTTGGATCAGCGAAGAAGTCAAATGGTTGAGAGACAAACTCGTTCTGAAACAGTTCCACATAAACCGGGAGCCTAGACTTTTGTAGCTTCTCCACAACATTGGTTTGTCTAGTGATGAAAGAAGAATCAAATAACGGAAAGACTGATTCCTTTGTGATGACAACAGCGTTAGCGAATTTCTTTATGTCTTGGATAGCAGAGTCACTAATATCAACAATTTTTTCTTCAACTTTGTAGACAGTCTCATACTTGCTCTGCTTCTTGAAGTCAACAAGAACCGAGCTGTTCGTTGACTGAATCATGACCTTTGTTGCGGTTGTTCCATTGCTGTAGCCAGTTTCCATGAGTGTATCAAGAACCGTTTTGACCACGTCGAGTCCTTGCTTCTCTCTCAGGTACACTGCATGCTAAAGGACTCAATAAAATATTAAGTGGCTTGGCCATATTACAAGACGCCACACGGTCTGATGGTTAAAATCATAAAGTTAGGAAAACTCACCTCTACACTGATCAAAACACCGGAAAGCGAAGTTGAATTCTTTGCCAAGTTAAGGAACTCAGAAAGCAAAATAAGCTTTCCAGAAATTCTCTCTTTTGGATTCCTGAACATATTGTATATACCGTAGGGGTTTGCAATTGCAGCTGCATAAAAAGATGGGAGAATAGTTGCCGTAAACTCTCATGGTATGTATTTTTGACCATATAGTAGTAGCCAAGTGACACATTGGTCTATAGCTACAAATTTTTGTAGAAAATTCCATAAACATAGACCCTTAAATTTATAAAAATATATTTTTTATGGAAACCTTTATTAAATCCATCTAAGCTCTCAAAATTTTAGGACCGACCATGGTAAAAAAGTTAAAAGAATATAAAACTGTTAGATGTAACCTTTTCAATTTAAGTGGGAAACTTACGAGTCAAGCTCCGTATCTCAGGCCACGTGAGACTAAAAGTGTATATTCCACCTTTAGAGCTAATCTCAGGAACTTGTGTTGAACGGTTTGAGAAAGGCGATAGGGAGATCGTTGTGCTGTTCGAGAGCTCTATTGATGTTGAGCAAAAGGGTATACCGTCGCTGGACATTTGGACTGAGCAATCGATAACATCAGCACCATCTTTGATAGCCTTATCATATGCCAAGTCTGTACATCCAGGATAGTCCCCACTCGCTCCATTTTTTGATATAACAAGAAAATCAACTGAACCATGAAACACCATTAGATAACAGTCAGCTATATAGGTTTCTTTTTTTTTTTGCTACAAGTAAGAAAAGAATTATGTAAAGTAATTACTCTTACTACCTTGTTTTGCAGCGTTTCTGCCAATGTGCGAGAAGCATTCTTTGAGGATAATATGTAAAATAAAATTATTTATTTGAGTATTTGGAGTGTAATGTTTCAAGGACATTAAAAAAAAACACTTGAAAAGATTTTGCTTACCAAGGGATGCAGACGCAGTTATGGGAAAATCTGAGAGCACGCCATCGACAGAGAAATTGCCATTGTCCACAAAAGATAGATATTCGGACACTGGATCGGAACTATAGTCGTGAGCAATATCAATATCATTAGAAAAACCTGATACATATACTTCTAGTCCTGCCTTATGAGCATCTTGAACTAAGGATGTAGGAGGAAGCAAGTACTGCTTATCATCTGGTTCCAATATGTAAGACTTGGGAACAAGAATCCCTGAAGCAAACGTCTTGACAAAAGTTAGGTTACTCAAAATAGAATCGTAAGTTTGGTTAGTTGTCGGCTCGAAATCTTCTTTTCCAAGGAACTGGAATACAAAAACCGGTCCATGACGCCCAAAACGGCCAGCAATCTTTTTAAAGAAATTCACTTCAGGGGAAGAGATGTAGTCAATGGAAACAGTTCTTGAAGCTGATATCAGAAACCTGCTCATGCTCAGATTCTGCTGCGCGTAGAACTCATCGTGCTGAACATTTAACCAAAAAAATTCTGGTTTAAACTGCGTGGTTACATCTTCAACCGTTAAAATAGAGAATACATTTCCATCGAATTTTTCTGACCGAGATAATATTCCTCGGATCACTGCAAACAGGTGAAAGCAAAATAAAAAAAGAAGACAGTTGTGAGAACTAACGACAAAACACACAAAAGGTACTACTTATTACAGAAACAGTAACTGGGTCATAATCACTTACAGTAAACATTACTGAGATCTTTCAAGGAGACATCAATGGTGAACCAACCTTGTGTAGGGACTCCATTAACCTGGTAAGATTTTTGACCATTTGGAAAAACATCTTCAATAGTTGAAGCGTTGTTCAGTTTTAAGTCAGGAAAGCAAATCCCAGCTCCATCTTTGGTTAGTTGAACATCACACCATAGAGCAGCACCTGCTACACTTATCTGCTTTGCGAAACCGTAAGCAGCACTACTCGAATCTGGAAACAATCCAGAAAAACCACCACGAGCAATCACAAGAGGAGCATCACCTGGTAAAAATAAAAGAAAAAGTAATCACAATTAATTTCAATTGTAGAGAATATTCCAACTTATTGTCAATCTAGCATAGAGGACGTCATACAGTTCATTTCAACATCTTTTAAACCTCAATGTTCAATTTCGTAATTATATTTACAATTTAGCACAAAATAAAGAAAAGAGAATATCCCAACTGCTACTACACATCTATAAAAAGAAAGTCCAAGCACTGTTTTCTCCTAATTTTCTCGGACATTCATGCTTAAAGAAAGAGATAGAAAGTGGGAGCACTCTCACCACTGAGCGTTTGCCATGGACTAGTAGATCTTTGAGCATCAGTTTGAGCAGCAAACAGCTGAATCAGAACAACACAACAGAGTAAAACTGCTGAAGCTCGCATTGTCATCGGATTACTTCGCCGGAAGTTAACTTGACAAGCTTCTTTCTTCTTAGACCACACAGATAGAGAAACAAAAATAGTTGTCTTTAATGTACAATCATTCCTATGCATAGTGGACGAATACAGACAGACTCAAGACTCGCGACTTAAAAAATAATATGGCTTTATTAGTTGACTCTTTTAAGTCGCCTCTGCATTAACTAAATTATTTTTACTCTTTGCCTCAAAATTGGGGCACAACAATTTTTTTTACTCGAGTGACTTTTTCTTGATTTTAATCTTTTCTCTTCATGTTTTATGTTACCGTTTTAATCTTCTTGGAAAATGTTGCGTAGGATATGAGAGTGACCTGTCGGTAAAGCTATACCATATACTATCTCCTACATGTGTTTGTCTTCATCACATTAACTTATTGACCATATCTATCTGATTTCGGAGACTTGAAGTGTCAACAATTCGATTAGCTCTTTCACCAGTAACATCAAAGACTTGATTATTTCCTCAGTAAGTATTCACCGTTAGATAGAAAAGCTTGAAGGCTCTTTACCTTTTGAGAAGTATCATATTTTTGTGGTTCTTTTTGTTACCAAAGAGAAAAATATTCACACAGAAGTGTTCTGTTTTTTTCCCTGTTTTGCTTACAATCAGGAGAAGGTGAAGAAACGAATGATATGATTTATTGGTTAAATTTTTCTGTATCACTTGGCAACAAATAGGCAGAGAAGGCTGCCATAGACCGAGATTGCTAATAAAATACTCTAGACAGCTGGTTGGAGAAATCATAAACGACTAACAAGCCTGAGAAACTCAGATGAGCGTTGATATGTTCAGAAGAAAAATAATGCTTATAAATGTTTCTTCTTAATCCGAGATCATACTCTACGTAACCGACATATCCTTTGAGAACGAAGGAGATTCGTGAAGAATCGCTGCTGAAATTTGCAAAATAGGCATATATAGACCTCACTTCAAGAGCATCCAGGTCTCCTTCCATCTCTACTATTATGTTAACTCGTGCAAGTAAAAGTCAAATATTCCCCAACTAATGAGCGTTAAGAAACAAATCCAATTAGCTCACTAAGCGTCTTACTTAAAAATTCCACTGTTAGACATGTAAAGCTCAAAAATATTTAGTTCAAGCATTTTCACAAATGCCTTCCAAACAATGAAATGCCTATATTCTACATTTTGAAATAAAACCAGAAAATATTAAGGTCAGTAATGCTTAAATTTCTGTTTTGATTTGATGGGAAAAAATAAAAGAAATTCTAGTTTAATATTCTCTCCCGCGAATAAAGAAAGACACACACATACGATTTGTTCCGAAACGAAAAGTCCCCAAACTCTAAGCAACTAGGAAGAACCAAACCAAACTTTTACTGACAAGAAAACAGAGTCATGAAATACTCTCATGGGAAGCTGCTCATTGTTACCAATGACCTCTTCCTTGTCCTCTCCCGCGACCACCTCCGCGTCTTCGGTTTCCTCCTCTACCACCACCGTGGGATGATATTCCCTGAAAAGCCTTGTTCACAAGCTGGTTTGGCATACCGCTCGAACCACGTCCCCTCTTTGCTGCGACATTGTTACCACTTCCAGTGTTGCTATTAGCAGGCCGTTTTGCTCTGTTTAATATTACAGTGAAGTCAATACAAATTAAAAACAGACATAAGACGATAGAAAGAGTGCGTATTGAGTTAACTTTGCAACAAACCCGATTGTGGTTGTTGTTGTTGCAGAGGGTAACGGCTTTGTGGCTTCTTTCCAAGAAAGGTTGATATTAGTATCTCCGATAAATGAAGGCACCTTTGCATGCAGTGGCTGTTTCATATCAAATTTTCCCCCAAGCTTAGTTTATATCATCAAAACTATACGCTTCCACCAATTAAAAAAAAAGACTAAGATGTTGGGATGTGAACACACCTTTGTCATCGCCAATATGTTATTACAGGTCCTAAGTCCAGTTGTAGTATTCTGCTTCTTTGTTTTCTGGAAAAGAATGATACAAAGGGTAAATACATTAGCCTCAAAAACAAATGTCACCAGGATAAAAAGAAAGAAGTTACAAGTTAATATACTCACAACTGTTGCCTTCTCTTCATCTGTCTTAGCAGCCGACATGGCTTTGTTGTGCTCAGTCATTCCCTGAGTTAATTTCTTCATTGTTGTCTTAGTTAGATCTTCAACGGTGGTCAATCTGCACAAAGGGACAAAAACTTTATGATATCATGAAAACAATACCAATAACTCTTCATATTCTCTCTTTAATCTAGATTACCGTCAGGCTTAGAAAACTTATACTTACATGGTGTGGCTAGCACAACAAATCTCAAATATAGATTCTACTAACCATCATGTACATAAAGTTTTCAACGACAGTATGTTGAACTTTCAAGTCGCGCAAATCTAGATGTCACACAATACCTCTCAGTGAAGTCCTTGTTCAATTCCGAGAAGTCTTCACCCAGTCTGTCCGATGGCTGGCCGGTCACAATCTTATACCCACACAAGCTGTTTGTTGCATTTGGAACCTGTATTTCTCAACGTATTCAGATAAGTAAAACTAGGAAGAAGAATAGAGAACGAGACTAATCTCGCAAATACGATTGTTAGCAACCTTGTGGGCAAGGTGATGGAACGCGTACAACAAACACTCCACGTACGTGAAGTTCATTTCCTCTCCAGTCTTCCTGGCGGGCATGTATTTCTGCAAACAACGAGTGTAACAATAATTATAAGACGATTTTACTATTGCATGTAATGTTTTTACATTCAAAATTTTGAGATTGTCATGAGACGTACAATAAAGATAAGTATACGCAACATGTCAACAAACTATTAATCAAAAGAATCAAGACACGGATATCTGTAGGAAGATGAATAATAGCACTTAAAGTGGTACCTTTAGAAGCTGAACTATTGAAGGAAGCATCTGCCTTGCCTCCTGAGCAGTTGTGTATGGGGAAATATCAGCAAGAGCTTTGAGCAGATCAAGCTTCCTCTCTTCTGGGAGCTAGTTATAAAAAAGAGATTTGGTCATATATTATGCTGGCCAAGAAATCTCCTTTACAGGAGTGATACGGATATTTGCATGCAAGAATGCGAAAGAGAAACAAGCAGCATACCTACACATGGATGAAATACAAGATACAACAATTAAGATTTTACTCCATACCCTTATTGTAATAAACTATTCTTATTTTGTCTACAAGAGTTGATAACTAACTAATAGCACACAAGAATCTGATACAAACACAACAAAAGACAAATATTATATAACTTCTAGGATACCTTGTCAAAAACAGGTATGATATGTTTGTTCAAATAATTGAGAAACCTGCTGGTTGGAGCACCTCTCTGAACAAAAGAAAGACGAAATTAGCAAAGCAACAAGCAAAGTTCATAGTATGGAATCTATCAAGCTACTAAAAGCACCAAATCTGAATCCGTACCGCAAAAAAGGGAAGAGCCAATTGGAGACATGATATCAACCTGTCAATATGGTCTGTATCTGAAACCTGGTAACACAATATTGGCAACCATTAATACCACATCACAAGGACTATCATGTTAAGAAATCAAGAAGTTTAGCTTCAACTTCAGGATAATGCAACATAACAAGCTTATAAAATTTGTATGATTGAATAAAGAAAACTTACATCAAACTGTGCATCCAAATCAGCCTGTCCTTCGATAATCTCCACAAGTTCTTGCATTCTTTCTTGAGGAGCTTTCCCTCCAAATATACTCAAACTTGTCAGGAAATCCATAAACATTTTAAATTCTCCTCCAGTTACATCTTCTAGGCTCTGGGAAAATCCAAATTAAGTCAGAATATATGGTGAAGAAGAAGGCAGATGTACGAAATAAAACTGCACACTCGCAAGATTACGTTCTTACCTGTTTAATTAGATCTGTTATACATCTCTCCATTTCCTCTTGAGGCTTTAAAAGTTCCCCTTTAAGTGGAAACACCTACATATAGATCAATAAGTTACAATGAATATTGAACAAGGTATTCCAAATCTCTCCAACCATTATCGTTTCCGAATTCTGATACTATCAAGCCTTTAGCTTTGTGGGGGGGGGGGGGGGG